GGGGTTGTCGGAAGCAGAAGAGGGGGGCGAGGCCGCAGGCGAGGGGCAGCAGCAGCAGCGGCACCAGCGAGCCCAGTTTGACCCCCAGTCCGGCCGGGGGCTCCAACTGGTCCCCCCCGGGGCTCCAGGCCAGCACGGCCCCCGTGTCCATCCCGATCCCGGCGAAATTCCGACCGGGAACTGCGGCTGGGAACGGGAATGGGAACGGGAATGGGAACGGGAACGGGCCGGTCAGAGCGGTCGGAGCCGCCCCCCCGGCCCCGGTGACTCACCCGGGACAGACCCCCCCGGAGGGGCCTCCGGGAATGGACACCGCGGAGGGAGGGACCGGGAATGGGATCAGGGACAGGGATCAGCGACCGGGATCGGGAACAGGGAGCGGGATCGGGAACAGGGATCGGGATCGAGACCAGGGACCAGGAGTGGGAACAGGGAGCGGGAACAGGGACAGATATCGTGTTTTTCCGAGAACGGAAGTGGCTTTTCCGGGACAGGGATGGGGAACTGGGAACGGGGACCGGGATCAAGGATCGGGAACGGAGGACTGGGGACCGGGATCAAGAGCTGGGATTGGGATCAAAGATCGGGAGTGGAACCGCGACCGGGAACCGGTTGTCCGGGACCGGGATGGGAAACTGGGGACCGGGGGCCGGGATCAAGTTTAAGGATCGGGACCGCGACAGAGATCCCGGCTGGGATCGGGAACGGGTTTTCCGAAACCGGGATTAAGGGCTGGGACCAGAATCAAGGACCGGGACTGGGATCAGAATCAAGGACCGGGACTGGGACCGCGATCGAGGACCGGGAGTGGGAACCGGGAATCAGGGAGCGGGACCAGGATGGAGGGCCGGGATCGGGAACGGGGTACCGGGACCAGGATGGGGATCAAGAACCGGGACCACGATCGGGGACCGGGACCAAGGAACGGGACCGGGATCAAAACGGGGAATGAGGAACTGGAGACCGGGATCGCGGACCAGGAGCTGGATCGGGGACCGGGAACTGGAATTCAGGGGTGGGATCGGGAAGTGGGAACCGGGATCGGGGACGGGTTTCCCGGGACGGGGATCACGGACCGGCCTCCCCCGGACCCTCAGGCCCCCCCTGACCCCCCCCTTGTCCCCGTTCCCGCACTCACGTCCCGTCACATCCCCACGAGTCCCAGGTGCTCCGGGGGGCGGGACCGGCGCCGCAGGCTCAGCCAATGGCGATGCGGAACTGCCCCTGACGTCACTGAGTGACGGGCTGTGCAGCCAATGGGGAGCGAGCGGCGCTGGTCCGGCACGGGCCGGGGGGGATTCCCCGTGTTCCCCCCCCCGTGTCCCTCTCGTGTCCCCCCCGTGTCACCTCTGTATCCCCCCTGTGTCCCCCCCTCCGTATCCCCACCGACCCCGTTACCGGAGGGCGCCGGGGGTGGCACCGGTCCCGGTCCGGAGCCGCCCCAGTCCCGACCCCGCTTCCCGGATCCCCCGCGGGACCCTCCGGGACGCGGCACCGGGGCAGCCCCGACTCCCCCGGTCCCCCCCCGGTGCCTCCCCGGTCCCCCTCCGGTGCCCTCCCGGTGTCCCGGCGGGGGTGGGATGTTCCCGGCCCTTCCCGGTCGGGGGCGGGACTTGGCGGGAGTCCCCGGGATCCCGGAGATCCTGGTCCCAGCCCCGGGACGGGGCGGAGGCGGCGGCACCGCCGGGGACCGCGGTGGGGTGCGGGGGACTCCGTGGAGGGGGCACGGGGGGCCCGTCCCGGCGGCGTCGGGGCTCGGAGGAGAGCGAGGGTCCCGCGGGGGGGGTCCCCAGGGAGCCCCGATGGAGCCCCCGGAGCTCCCGGAGCTGTTCCCGGACCTCCCCTCGCTGCCGGTACCGGGATTCCAGACCGTGATACTCCTCGGGGAGGACGTGAGTGGGGTGGGAGGGGGCGCGGGGCGGGCGGGACCCCCCGAGGGTCCCCGGGATTGTCCCGGGGGGTCCCCACCGCGTGTCGTCCCCCCCCCTCGCAGGGAAGCGGAGCCGAGGAGCTGCTGGGGCTGACGGTGAACCCCGACCTCGCCTGCGGCACCGCCCCGGAGCCCCCCCGGCCCGCGGACCCCCCCCCGGTGCTGCTGGAGGTGGTCTGTGACCTCAACTCCCCCCCGTGCCCCCCGCACCCCGCGCTGCCCCCCCTGCCCGCACCTGTCCACGTCCCCCTGCCCGTGGTGAGTCCCTGCACCCTCCCCCGCCCCCCCCCAGTTCATCCCCAGAGCCCCCCAGTCCGTCCCCGGACACCCCCAGTCCATTCCCAGTGCCCCCCCAGTCCATCCGTGTGTTCCCCCCCCATCTCCCACAGCTCCGGCTCACGGAGGAGGAGAAGCGGCTGCTGCAGCAGGAGGGGGTGACCCTGCCCGGGGACCTGCCCCTCACCCAGGTGGGGGGACACGGGGGGGGACACGAGGGGGTCGGGGGGACAGGGGTGACCCTGCCCCTCACCCAGCTTGGGGGGGACACGGGGGGGTCGGGGGGGGGACAGGGTGACCCAGCCCCTCACCCAGCTGTGGGGGGGACACGGGGGGGGACAGGGGTGACCCTGCCCTCAAACACGTGGGAGGGGACACGGGGGGGACACGAAGGGGGGGACAGGGGTGACCCCTGCGCCCTCAGGCCGAGGAGCGGCTCCTGAAGAAGGTGCGGAGGAAGATCAGGAACAAACAGTCGGCGCAGGACAGCAGGAGGAGGAGGAAGGAATACCTGGATGGGCTGGAGAGCAGGTGGGGCCGGGGCCGTCATCCCGGCATTCCCGTCATCCCGGCATTCCCGTTATCCCGGCATTCCCGTTATCCCGGCGCGGCCGGGTGTGTCCCCCCCTTCACTGTCCCTGTCCCCGTCCCTGCAGAGCAGCCGCGTGCTCGGCCCTCAACCGGGAGCTGCGGGAGAAGGTCCGGGAGCTGGAGAAGAGCAACGGGTGAGGGGCCGAGGGGGTGGGAAGGGGGACTCCGGGATGGGAATGGAGCCGGGAAGGGGGGCACTGGGATGGGGGCACCAGAAGGGGCAAGGAGCCGGGATGGGGGGCACTGGGATGGGGGCACTGGGAGGGGTCTCCAGGAGGGGCAGGAGCTGGGATGGGGGCACTGGGAGGGGACACTGGGAGAGGGGCACAGACCTGGGAAGGGGGCACTGGGGGCACTGGGATGGGGTCACTGGGAGGGGTCTCCAGGAGGGGCAGGAGCCAGGATGGGGTCTCTGGGAGGGGGGCACTGAGAGGGTCTCCAGGAGGGGCAGGAGCCGGGATGGGGGTCTCTGGGACGGAGGTCTCTGGGATGGGGGTCTCTGGGATGGGGGGCACCGGGAGGGTCTCCAGGAGGGACAGGAGCCGACCCTGTTCCCACAGATCCCTCCTGCAGCAGCTCCAGGCGCTGATCAAGGAAACATCCACCAAGGCCGCCCAGACCGGCCCCTGTGTCCTGGTACGGCCCCCCCGGGACCCCCCCGGGACCCCCCAACCCACCCTGGCACTCACAGTTCCCATCCCTCCCCCAGATCCTGTTCCTGTCCCTGGGCCTGATCCTGCTCCCGAGCTCCAGCCCCTTCCAGAAGGAACATCAGGATGGCCTCAGACCCACCGGAGGTACCGGAGCTCCGGGATGAGGGTGAGGGGTGGGCACAGCTTTCCCACCCCCCTGGCACTGCCCATCCCGCTCTTCCCTGTTCCCACAGTGATCTCCAGGAACATCCTGACACGGCAGGAGCCGGGAGAGGCCGGAGACCCCCCGATCCCAGGGTGGGGCTGGGGGGCACAGCCGGGATTGGGAGCGGAGGACGGAGCCAGGGGGGGGGTCTGGGGAGGGGTTCCCCCCTCCTGGAAGGGATCCAGGGACAAATTCCTCAGGGCAGGATGTGGGGATAGGGGGACACGGGGATGAGATGTGACCTGGAGACCCCCTGGAATAAACCCACGCTCCGTTTGCATCCCAAGGCGTGTCAGGGGATCGGGAATGGGGGGGGGACACACCCCCCAAGGGACAAACACTCCGGTGACAATGCCCAGGGTTTGTCCCACATCCCGGGGCGGGATCCTGAGGACCCCTCGGGCGGATCCCGGTGCTGGGAACCCCCGAAGGATCCATTCTCCAGGGATAAAACACTGGGATTGGTGACAAAAACCAGGATTTGTGACAAGGATCAGCATTTATTCCACATCCCGCTCCCAGGGTGGGATCCTGGGTCACCAAGGCTGGGATCCTGGGACCCCCGAGGGTGGGATCCTGGAACCTCCAAGAGTAGGATCCTGGAGCTCCCAAGGATGGGATCCTGGGACCCCCAAGAGTGGGATCTTGGAACTCCCAAGGGTGGGATCCTGGGACCCCCAAGGCTGGAATCCTGGGACCCTTAAGGGTGGGATCCTGGGACCCCAAAATTGGGATCCTGGAACTCCCAAGGGTGGGATCCTGGGACCCCAAAATTGGGATCCTGGAACTCCCAAGGATGGGATCCCAGGACCCCAAGGGCGGGATCCTGGCACCCCCAGGCTGTTCCCAGGGCAGATCCCGGTGGGAGAGGGCACAGGGACCCCCCAGGGCACAAACCCGGCGTCGCTCCGGGCACAAGGACCAGGATTTATTCCCCATCCCGCTCCCAGGGACCCCCTTCCCGGGGTGGGTGGCGATCCTTGGGGGAACCTCCTGCGACGCTCCCCGGGGACGCAGATCCCGGCAGGATTCCCGGCGGGATTCCCGGTGGGATTCCCGGCCCCTCCGTGCCTAGATGGACTCGATCTGCTTGCGGACCTTCTCCCGGGCGCGGCGGTCGAGCTCCCGCTGCCGCAGCACCACGAGCGCCGCGGCCGCCGCCGCCACGGCCAGAGCTGAGCCCACGAAGCGCCAGAACCGCCGAGACTCCAGCGCGGCCGAGCGGCAGCTGCGGGAAGAGAGCGGGAATTCCGGGATGGATCCCGACGGAATTCCGGCCCTGATCCCACGGGAATTCCGAGATGGATCCCACAGGAATTCTGGCCCTGGATCCTACTGGAATTCTGGCCCTGATCCTGTGGGAGCTGTGGCCTGGATCCCACTGGAATTCTGGCCCTGACCCCAGGGGAATTCCGGGATGGATCCTGCGGGAATTCCGGCCCTGACCCCAGGGGAATTCTGGCCTGGATCCCACTGGAATTTGAGCCATGATCTCAAA